CTTTGGACACTTCAAATATGTCATCATGAACATGCAAAACCATTCAAACCAGATAGTTCTTTTATATACTGTTGCCTTTAGGTCTGAAGATGACCAAAAATAAAAGAAAAATTCAACCTTAAAATCATAAAGCTATTCACAAAATTCTCTCATAACGCTATCCAATGATTTCGCAACAAACGTTCGTTCGATGCGCAATGCGATTTACGTAAAATAAAATTGATAATGAGCTTATATATGTTGTTTTGAAACTCTAAATGCAACCGGCATGGCAAGTTTTTTTTTTGAATCTCTATTTACTATTTATTTTATTATTTAGTTACTTTTTGTTTTGATAAATGAACAAATGATACCGTAATATGTTAGAGAAAAAAAAACGAGAAAATTGTTTGATTTCATTTCTTTTTACATAGCATTTTTTATAGTGTTATGTGCTTAAATGTGTGTCCTACAAATAAGCTCGCCTCACTCCGTTGAATTTACAACAAAGTTTGTTTATTAGTTTTTTTTTTTTACATTATGAATTTCTAGCTACGATATCGGTCATTATCTAAAAAGCAATTTGTGATTTTCGAGGTGGAAAACCGTTAATCGGCAATCATCATATATTTCAGTACTGAACATGCCAGAGTCAAGCTCAATATCATATGATGAATGCCGTGCCGGTTCGCTTATTTAAATCATCTATTTCAACAAAATAATAATGTGTCGGTTGATAAATTGAAATAAAAATCATATTGATAGTGCGCTGTGCCATGACTTTAGCCGATACAAACAACAGTTGTCTGTTAAATGTTGCGTAAATGAAGGCATTAAATTTGCATTGAAGCAAATGTGATATTTTTTTTTTTTTAATTTTCGTTCATTTAATTGATTGTTGTCGTATTGGTTTGGCGCAGGTAAAGTTAAACAAATATTGGCAACTAAATAAAATGTCTGTTTTTTCGGTTCAAAATTTCATAATTGTGTGTGAAGGTCCTTTTTTGAATTTGATTGATTAACTAATATATGTAATGACTGCTTTGTTATTTACTTTTGTATCGAGCTACCTTATCTCGACCTAAAAAGCTGAGTACCTATGAGTTATTAAATCTACGTATAATTCATACAATTTCATTTGTGTTTTCTTCAATATTCTTGTGTTTTAGTTAAATCGGCGGGTATGCATCCGTATGATGTCTCATTGTAATTTTCACTATTTTCTGTTTTTTTTTTCAAGTGGGGTTTTTTCCCTTTTAAATTATCTTTAATTATTTTTAGCTTGTTGTACATATTCTACAATTAACTACATTCTATAAATGCATATGCTAGTTTTTAGTTGGTTGCGATTTCCCTTGAGAGCGCATCTCCATTTGTAAGAATGTGATGTTGGTATGGAACGTTGTTTGTTTTTTTTCTGTATTTAAAAATTGATATTTTTTGTGTGAGTGTTGATACTTTTAAATCAATGTTCATCTTAAAATGCGTTGGTTTTTTTTTCTTGATGAAAATTCAACATGATCAGGTAATGGTATAAATATTCAAACATATAGGGAAAATGATGAAACTGAATAGATTTGATTTCATGGACGTTTTTAATATTGGTATTGTTTGAACGCTGGAACAGCAACCAAAAGCGAACATTTAAATTCATCAATTATTTCGTAAGCGAGTATTCAACACTTCACTTTTAAAATGATCAAAGCAAGAACTAGAAACCATGGGTTATTTTGTAAATCAATTTCAATTTTAGCTTCGAAATATCAACGATTCGCAACAATTTCTCTGTATTTCTATATACAACTCTATTTTTTTTTTTATCCGGATCACCCGGTCAGCCCTTAAAAATTCTCCTTCTGCTTCTGTTGCAAATAGAGAAAACAATTCGAGAGCGCATTCTACAAATTGGACACACTTTGTTTTATTTTGTTTTGTTTTTTTTTCTCAAATTAATTTATCATCAAGTGCAAGTGCATATGCTTATCATAAAATGTGCGTCATGATCAAATTGAAAATGTAAAATCGACTAAATTCATTTGAAGAACCAAAGGAAATTGACGTAAACGTTAACGGTGTAAATAAATTTGAATCGGTGTAATAAGAGATATAAAATGAACGAAATTCGCTGCAAAAGTACAATAATTTTATGGAAATTAAAAAATTACAACAATTAATCATTTTTAACGCCAAGTGAAGTTAAAGTGTTATAGTTTGTTATTTTTCATTAGAATTGCATCTATTTCTGATGGACATGCAGTGAAATTAAATGTAAACTGTACAATATGTGTGATTTAACTATATTCTTTACACATCGTTTTTATTTTAATTTTATTTTTTGTTTCGATGAAATTATATGTATGATCCAGTGCTTCGGTGTTTATCCTTATCAATTTTATTTGTAGCTTTATATAGATTTTATTTATTTAGTTAGTTTTATCGTTTTATGTTTTTTTTTTTTATGATTTAAATATCAGTTTTATAGTATGCTGCTGTTAAATGGTTTGTATTTTAAAATTTCTTTTATAACATTCAAATCACAGCCCATTTGTTGAATTGTTTTTACAACATTAACCACGTTAAGAATTTTTTGTTTGTTTGTTTGAATCCATTCAATTAGTTTATGTTATTAGTCTTTTTTACAGTTATTGATGTGAAAGTCGGCGCATATTTGTGTGTATTGTTGGCGACGCGTTTCGCTGTCAATTGATTTAAATTGTGTGTGCATGTTGTGTTTTTTTTTTGTGTATACAATTATGACTTTAGAAAGATAATGTTTGGTGTAATTTTAAATATTTGATAAACTAACTTATTTCGGAACGAAAAATTATGGAATTATTTATATTTGATTTTAATTGCAATGCAAAAACAATTTCGTTGACAAATTAAAGATCCATTGAAAATACGGTGGAAGATACTGTTGCAGCGAAATTATTCAAATCATCTTATTTACCCGCATGAAATGATAATTGTAAGTAACAATTTAAATGGTGCGCGAAAATGTCTATATTTCGATGGTTTTATTGGAAAAAATATCTTCTTAACCGATCCCTTGATGTTGTATGTAGCCTACGAAGCCAATGCATTGCATGTGGCAAACCTCAATGTATCAAAAACGAAAAGATTTCTTTAAAAATATTTTAATGGAAAATATATGTTGAGCGCGCAATAGTATCGATAGAGTTAAGAGAGAATAAGAAAAATGATCGAAAAATGCGGTGTCCAAGTATAAGAATTCATGTCTATACATTAAATGCGTTTCTTAGTAATGCCCTTAATCAATATCAATTATGTATAGATAATTCAAAATCGTTTATTTAGTTCATAATGTGCATAATATATCATTTATATATAAATATATCGATTTTCTTTAGATGGTTGTTGGTTGTTGTTTTTTTTTTTTAATTTATTTTATTTTTTCGCTAAATCCTAAAATAAATTGATTATGATTTTGTGTGTATGTGTGTTTTTCATTTTCTGTTCCTCTAATTCTTTGTTTCTCATTATTATTATGAATCGAAATCGAAACGTTTTGCTGCTGCTGCTTCTGTTCATGCTGTCGATGCTGCGGTGCAATGATTTTTTTTTATTTATTTTCTTACGAAATGCCTAATTTATTTCAATTATTCAATAATGAGTATGTATATATAAGTGTGTGTTTGTGTGAGTGTGGGTGTGTCTGTATCTGTGTTCCTTGTTTAATAGCTAAATTATTAATTCAATTATGATTTAATTCTTGTAATTATTGTAATAATCATCATTAATCAATCAGTTTGTGTTGTCAATCAATAATAAGTAGTTGGTTTTCACTTTAAATTTAAATTTTTGACTAGATTATTAAATTGTTTAAATAAATCGTTAATCATACGCTCCAAGTTGAACTTTTTTTCTTGTTTTATTTAAACCTAATTATTAATTTTTGGCGCATCTTAGCTGTAGATTATTAAAAATTACATTTGTTTGTAGTTTTTTTTTGTGTTTTGTTTTCACCGCTTTTATTTTTAAATTATTTATTTATTCCTTGGTATTCTAGTTAATAAAATATACCATTAATATTTTATGCTCATAAATGTATATATACTTTCATGTAATATGTATAATGTATAATCTAAAAAAGGCGAAACGAATTTCCTTTGCAGTATTTTCTGATTACTTGTTATATTTTTTTATTTTTCTTCATTTCTTCACTTTATTTTTTTTTTGTTTACCTTTAAATCTTCTCATGTCTAAGTTTCAAATTAGCAGCTAACCAATCTGTGGTATTGTGGAAGTGTGTGTATATTGTATATATAATCGGTATTGTAACTTTGATGTGAAAATGCGACTTTGATGAATGAAGAGTCAATAAGATTTTTCTGTTTCTTCAAAAGTAAATAAAAATTTCTTCCAATGTTTTTCTTTGTTTCATAATAAAAATGATGTATTAAAAAGAGAACTCTTTCATTTTTTTTTTTTAAATAGACCGGTTAAAAGTCGATTGATTGTGAATTATTTTGATAGAAAATAAAAGTGTCAAAGCTCCGAACTCCGGAGGATCCAGGAATGAATACCATAAACTGTCAGAGGACATTCCATTGAGCCTCTTTTTTGTATCAATTCCACGTTTTAAAATCGATTTCCTTTTGTGTGGTGACCCAATCAAAATGGAAAACGAAAAAATTGATTTTAAAAAAATGCAATTACTATTGTTATGTGGTATTTAGATAATAATCTGATGTCTCAATAACGTATTTTGTGTGTCATTTTGGTATGTATTGTCTGATGCACATCATTGATTTACACCAGAGGTGATCAATAATGTCACAAAATCCACATCGCTTTACGACAATTTCAAGCGATTTATTGATGATTTGACATATTTGCTCACCTTTGATTTGCAACAACAAAACCAAAAACAAGGCGAAAACAAAAAGAAAATGAGTCACAACAAAATGTTTTCGTTTTTCTTTTTAATTTCAATCAATTAAAATTATTTTTGTTTCTGTTTTTCGCAAGAAATTAAAAACAAAAATGGACGTGTTCCAAATTTTGAATGAGATACTTTTTGTTGTTGTTGTTCACTTATCTAAGCAGATGTATTATACATCTATACATCATGTATAGAGAAACAATTTTTGGTTAGTTCGTACTCTTCAATCTATTGAAATGTGTCTATGACTATTGTTTTCGTTGGCCGAATAGATTGGAGCGCGTACATGAATGACATTGCACTGGCGCACCATTCTCTCTCTATTTTTCATCTCATATTTATATTTATATATGTATATTCTTCACCGTCGATTTATCTAAATCAAGTAAACAATGCGATTCGGTTAATACTATAATAGCGTATGTTAACGGTTCAAACCAAAAGCCATGACTCTTCTTTTTTTTTTCCCTTTCTGATCCTCTTTAAATTATGTCTATCTAAAAAATAAGTCTAAATGATTATTATTCATCTTTTTTTCCTCTTTCACTTCTTCGATTATTTTCATGAGTATTTTTTAATGTATGTTTATAGCAATTTGTAATGCAATTATAGTGTTAGCATTTTTCTTTTTATTCCAGTATTATGGTTTAATTATATTATCAAATATCTCTTATTTCGATTTGTTCAGTTCATCGTTTCGTATCGAGAGAAATGGGAAAAGAGAGAATGTGAACGGTATAAGTGTGTCTGTGTGTGTGTGTGTGAGAAAGGAAATCCAATGTAATTTTATTTGATTGTTTTCGAATTACGAAGCAAAGTGTGACGTCGACATATGCTAACGACGTTCAATCAATATGTATAGCTCCAATTAAATGTTCGGTCGAATATTTTCTCGATTTTAAAAATGATTTTTGTAACAATCGGACTTTGGCTTTTATTTAAAATGGAAATCAATGAAACTGTTCGAAATAGGCGAGTAATTCAATTTTTACATTTCTTTTTAAATTACAAATTACTTCAAATATAGTATTCATTTCATTGTTTTTTATGTCATTGATTTTTCTTTTTAAATTTTATGGCACAAGGTTTGTTTTTTTTTTCTTCGTCGTCCTTTAAGAGGAGATGTAGGAAATAAGCTTTTAATTGGTTGTGGTTGTTTAAATCGAAATATGAAATAAATATAACGTATATGTGGAAACATCACGGCGTATTTGCTGATATGGTTTTCCACGAATGCAACAAATCTATTCCTTAATTACAGTTTTATATATTCCACACAGCATTTGTTGTGAAAAGAATAAAATGAAGTGAAAAATAAACCGCGGGTAGTAAGAAACGTAAAAACCAAAGTTATTTCACATGACATGTGATGGCAAATGATTTGCATTCAAATTTTCATTGAATTTAATGTTTGTTTTTGAGTGAGAAAACCACAGGTAATTTTTTTTTTGTTTGCTTTTAAAAAGATTTTTGCTTTCATGTTTTGCAAGTTTAAATTTTTTTTTTACTTTACAAATGGTTGTTTGTTAAATCTGTTTCATTGTCTATTTGTCAATTTTAATGTTAATGTTAATCAATCACTTTAAATTGGTTGTTTATGTTTACTTTGAATTCAATTTCTGATGGATGTGATATTCTCTCTTTTTTGTATAGCTTTTGCTATTGAATGTTGGTTATTTTCGGAAATAGACCTTTTTTCCCGCAAAAAAATACGTTTTTTTAGTTTGTTTTTTTATTTTATAAGTTATGTACCGCATAAGGATATAAATCATTTATGATTATTGAGAAAATTTATTCCGCGTTCACCTCGTCTATAAATTTAATTGAAATGCATAAAAATGTATGTTTTGTTGTTTTTTGTTTGTTTATTCGTTCATTTGTTTAACATAAACCGAATGCATTTTCTCTTTTACGTTTGTGTGTGTGTTTGTTTGACAAAATGTCCGGGTCTCTTGTCTATTGATAAATGAGATTGATTGATTTCTGTTGGCCAAAGATTTACGCAATAATTTACAGCGGCGATGGAGCGATGTTTGGCTTATGCGGACACAAGTGACACACTGATCACACTTGTTTCTCAAATTTTTGAACGCTCACTCGAATATTTTGTCATTAATTTTGATTTATGTATATATTTTTATTTATCCGACGTGGAGGCGGAGAAAAAATCGAAGTTGAAATTGTCAGAAAATCAAGGAATATAAGCATCTTTTTTCATTTTATATTCATTTTGTATATATAACTGAGTGGGTTATCGGTTGATTATTGGATTTAATTTAGCTTATGGTTCAGAGCTTCATCTGGAATAGAGGTAAAAAGAACGAACAAAAAGAGAGAATAATAAACTATGAATTTAAATCAATCGAGCGTTTGGTCTGCATTTAAATTTTTTTTGTATCAATCACGGTTGAAACTGGATAAAAAAAATCTCACTTCTATTACCCTATCTAATAAACTATTAAAATCGTGTTCATGTTGAAAATGAGCTCAGTATTGAACCACGACACCAGAAGAAAATCACGGGACTCTTACTGAGTTTTCAACATGAAAAATGAAATTTACACGGTAAACAAAACCGAAAACATTATATTTTCCCTTTTATTTTCCAACTTAAATTTACAAAAGGTGAATGCAAAGTGCTTTTACTCACCAATACTGCCGTATTGTTGTGATTCTAATCCTTATGTTAATAGGGTCGGCTTGCATCTTTTGGTCGTTTTAGCTGAACTTTCAGTCTTTTCATTCCAATCTGAAAACCATTCATAGCCTGAATAGCTGCTTGAGCACTTGCCGGATTGTCAAACGACACAAAACCTATTGAAATAATGATGCAACATCCAGTGCCATAGTTATTAGCCGGATTAAGGAGTCATCGTAAATACCACCGAAAAATAGACCGTCGATTGTGTATTAAATTAAAGTGCACCATCACCATCCAACATCATCCATGGCAACACAAACAAAAAAGTTAAAAGGCGCATTTTTTTGTTTCAAAAGGATCCATTGATGATTGTACGAATGGCGAATATATAACAGGAGGAAAAGAAAAAATTAATTTAGTTTCATTGTTTACATTTTATATAAATATAAAAAAGAGAGCGGAAGAGGCGAGACAATGAAACGGAAAATTAACTTTGAAAATACCGGTTTTTCCTCAAACGTTGGATAAAACTTACACAAATAACTAATATACTCTTTAAAAAAAAGTACACGGAATCGAAAATTAACACCAAATTAAGAGATAAAAAAAGACCTTTTTGATAATACAACAAGTTTTGAAAGGTATTTGTTTTTGTCTAAATGTTCCATCCAACATAAAAAACGAAATAATTTTGAACATTCGATAGATTTAAAATATAGAGAGAAAAAAATGACGTGTACTCACCAAAACATTTGCTTTGATTTGTTGCCCGATCGATGAATACTTTCGAACTGATAACATTACCGAACGGAAGGAACATTTGCATTAGTTCTGCGTCACCAAATTCTTGTGGCAGATGATAGATAAACAAATTGCAGCCTTCGGGCCCAGAAATCGAGCATCCTGGGAACATCAAAAAGTCTTTAAAGAACATTAAAGGATTCCGTCAATAGGTACAACATTTGGATAGCATTTTTTGTTTGTTTGTTTTTAATTAGTTTTCTAGTAATTTATATTTAAGTCATTTGTTTCATCATCTGTGTTAACTTTTTCTTCTTCTTTTTTTCTCTTCTGTTCAGAAAACGTTTGATTTATTAATGATTTGCAACGAAAGAAAAAAATAACCAGACGTAAAAGCCACAAAATCGGATAAAGTGCTTTGAAATAAGTTTTTATTGAATGGCGAACACATTGTTCGGATGACAAACAAAACTGCATGTAATTTATCAAATTAAACCAGAATAGCTAAACTAAAATGAAAATTGAGGCAATGAATACGAAAAAAGCGATGAAAATGTTCTTTATGATATAATAAAGATAAAAACCATGACGGTTTAACTTAAGATATTGTAACGTTTTCAAAGCACTTGCTCCAGTTATGTGGACATTTCATCTTGAAAATCAACTAAACCAAACCAATGATCTAAGAAGAAGCTTTTCTATTAATATATTTTAAAACATACATTTATAAATTGATCAATGTTTATGTTTCTTCGTTAAATTTTTTGATGTCATTTTGAAAAAAAAAAAAATGCTCACAAAATATTGTTCTTTTCTTTTCATGTAATATTTAAAGCGATTAAAATGTTTATCATAATTTTTTTTGTTGTTGTTATTAAAATAGAAATTACATTCATTTTGTGTCAGTTTCCATTGTAAAAAACTAAATAAACAATAAAAAAAAAACAGATGGACAAAAACTGTTCATACATTAATTAATAGTTTAATATAAACAGAATGGAATGAAAACGTAAAAGAAAAACGAGATTAACAACGAACAACAACATCTCAAGATTTAGCAATAAATATGGTACGTTCAGTATGATTATTGCGAATATCACATTGAAGAATTGACATCGATCTGTATTTATAAAATTGAACAAAAGAACGAAATAAAAAAAACCAAATTGAAGAAAAAATCCAACCCAACAACATGATTGAACAAAAACGAATTCGATTTGAACCACACAATAAATCTGATTGCCTTGCTTTTTCTATGAGATTGAAAGAGATTAATTTGATTCAACTTCTTTCCTTTTTTTCACAAAATCATAGTTGTGAGAGTATAAATGTGTCTTCCATAACCCCCCCCCCCCTTTTTGTGAAGATAACGGTGCTAGTTATGGCTAATCACTTCTATTGTATGGATGCAAACAGAATGAAATGAAAATAGATTTCTAATGTGAAAGAATAATGGAACATTATTTATAATACTTGTAATTTTGTAAATATTAAACACCAAGACAAACAACATTAAACATACATATGTAGCATTCATACTTAAATGAACCGATTTAGCGGACGATTTCATTGGAATTCCAAACAAATGCGAATGAACTGAGCAGAAGTTTGGTTTTGGATAAAAAGCAACGAAAAATAAAATAAAAAAAGAACCGAATAAAAACGTACAAGGTTAAAAAAAAACAATAGGATATTGTGTGTGTGTTTGAAAAAAGAGTGAAATTTTGATCGATAGAATGAGCGGATAAAAAAAATTTACAACGAAGTCGAGAGTCGAAACGGAAAAAATTTCCGTCGACGAAAATGAGTATGAGTTATGTAGGAGAGGAATTGCATCACCACCGAAAAAAACCCAAGACCATGGCTAAAAAAAAATGTGAACTGATAAAAAAGGCAAACAAAGTTTTGATAGTTTGATTTTGTGGAGAGAAATTGCGAAGGCAAGATAATACAGTGATGTGAAAGACAAGTGGCGGTTACCGCAAACGTTGTTGCTTTTGTTCATGTTAAAAAAGATGCAGAATAGAGGAAGAAACGAGACGGGCGAGAAAAAAAATTACATCTGTCGTAAATCGTTTTCATTACGAGCAACAGCAACCACAGCAGCCGGCTATAAGCAAGCTATATTGCATTTGATCACATGACGTAGCAAAAGTGTAAAATTGTCTGGTAAGGCAGCCAAATGAAATCGCAACGAAAAAAAAATATACATACACCATCACCACCAAACGCTTCATTTTCATCGATAGAAAATTTGAATCGTTTGCCTCTTCCGATCGGAAGACGAAAAAAAAAACACACACACACACTGTGAATTTACCCAAATAGACAAAGTGGCGAAGTGAGAAGCAGCTGGCTGAGAATAAAATCCAGACGGTTTGAACGTAATTGACTTTGAGTAGATATTTTATTGAATTTCGCCAATTTAGAATTGAGCATCGCGCGCACATAAAGTACTAACAAATCTCTGTATAAAAATAGCATATTGCATGAATACACCGGAAAAAAAATGGGACCACAGCCAGTGAATTGGGCAGCATGAGAGAGGTAAGAGGAAAACGGGCTTTGAAAGCTTACGTTGAACGATGTTCGATGTGAATTTGGAGAAGAAAAAAATATTTTCCACTTTTTCGCTTTATATCCACCTCAACTTTAGATTCAATTGTTCGATCGACATGTTCATCTTGTTGTTGCTACTGATGCTGTTATTATTACTATTTTTTCCTTTGTATTCTCCGCCTCTATCTTTTTCTCTTGGCGATCTTTTGCAGGCTTCTATTTTCCTGCAACATTGTTCATCCTGTTTGATGTGTTTTTTTTTCGGTGGTGGTATTTGTTTAATGCACAATTCTATCTATTGATTATTTCACATTGATTTTGTGCGCAACAATATTGTGTTGTTCGACGTGATTCTCATTCTCGATAATTTCATAAAGCAATTCTCAAATAAGCTGCAAGGCCAAAGGTAAAAATATTTTGCTATTCACATTTTCGCCATAGATTTGAAGCGAATATCTCGAGGAATGCCGAGTGTTTGCAATAAGGTTGAGTAAATTTGCTTTTTCAATGTTCGAGCGTTGATTCGTCGACATTGATGGTGTATATACAGCATGCAATTACAGTCAACGCGAAAAAAATTGCAACAAAAATTGTCGGCAACATCTTATGGCATAGTCTGACAGAGAACTTGGAAAATGATTGGACAGAGTAAGTTTATCTGTTGTGGGCTTATTCGTAATTTTGACACCATATTAAAGGTGTAAACGTGAAGCTGTCATTGTTGAACGTTTTTTTTTTTATTATTATTTTGCATGTGATGATGTTGCTGTGTGCGATGGGCCGTTCGATTGATTTTGAAAGAGAAAAAAAAAACGAAAATGATCTTGCTGACGGTTTGAAATTCGTGTCGTTAGACAACATTTTGCAAATAATAATAATGTAATTTAACCGAAAACTATTTGAAATATGGACAAAAAAAATGTAAGGATTCAACACAATGGATGGTTTTGTTTAGTTTGATACATGTGTTGTTTTTTTGTTAAATAAAGAAGAAGAATAGAAATTCTTCTCATTTGGATTGATCGAAATCTACAAGAGCCTCAACGTATGTGATTTGATTGCGTGTCGATGTGTTTTATGAGTTGACGTTTTCTTGTTCTGTTGTCAGGCGTTTGTTTTTTTTTTTATATGGTTCATATTAAACTTACCTTCTCGTTGAGATGGTGCAACTGCAGCCAATGGTTGTGGAATTACTTGTGGAAACTGTCCGTATACGGCAGGATAAGCTGCGTTCAAATTTGTTTGGTATTAAAAAAATAAAAATACAAAAGTACATCAACGGACATCTAACAATAAATTTGTGATATCAGGGATTTTGATATGATTTTTTTTTAGTTGTTGGCTATCTATTCGTCATTTTATTTTATTTTTTATGTTTGTTTTTATTTTGTTTTCGAATCACGATAGGCTTTTGTTTCGATGCAACTACTATAATTTGTTATTTAGTCGATGTGTGTTCAATTCCCATTTAAAGATAGAATTCACAAGTTGTCGACGAAGAACAAAAATAAAAACGAAAAAGTTTATATGCTCTTTTGAATCTTTCTGATAATAAATACTAAAATTTATAATGATAATAATATATCGACAGAGAGAAAGAGAAAGATAGAAAGAGAAACCAATTGTTTATGATTAAAAAGTCGCATGCTTCACACATTCAAAACAAGGAAAAGAAGAGTTGAAGAAGGAAGGAATAAAAAATCACCGATAGATTTTCACTTCAATATATCAATCAAATACAGTAATTTCAAATGATGTGTAAAACAAATAAGCTTCGAAGTATCCGATTTAAACCGAAGCCATTTACGACCGAAAAACACTTTTGTTAAGCTCAAAACGTAGTTCGTTAAATGAACATTTTTTTTCTGCACTTTTTTTTTAAATATGTACTCAAACATCCTTGCAGTGACTTTCAATTATGTGCGCTCATTCAATTCGTTATTTCGAAAGTTGTGCATTTCGACCAAAGAACAAAATGAATTTCATTCAAATGGCACGTGCTTTTTTCCTCGTTTTTCTCTTTGTCTTCTTTTTCTTTGCTCATTTATCGGGCTTTCTTCTTCTCTGTGCATTTGTATTTTCTTTCTTTCTTCTGATTCGTTTTAATTTTCCCCAAAAACCAAGTGTAAATGAAATTGCTGGATAAAATGTGGGAAAATGGTTTGGAAATATCATTTGCAAATAGAAAAGTGTAATGACAAAGAATGAGAAAAATCAGTAGACAGTAAACCGAAAGGCAAACTACCAAAAATGACAATGACAATGGTTGGTTAGTTGGCAAACGGGCAGATTTTGTATAGCAAAAAAGACTCCGAATTGCCATTACGAAATGACTTTTCAAGAATCTATTGGCTAACTAAAAGTGAATGTTGTAATTTAATGGTGATCATCTAAAAATGTTTCGCTTCTATTTATGCACATTAAATTCAGTTCCGGATGCAGTTGTGAATTGAGCAGTAGCATATCGGTGCATTGTTATCGTATTGAAGGTGAAGAAAGACAAAAGAGATAGAGAGAGAGAGAGAGAGAGAGAGAGAGAGAGAGAGAAGAAGAGAAAGCCATTGAAAGTAAAGAGAGATAGAAGAATGAGATTTGTATAGAAAGAGAGGCAAACAGACAGAAAATGCGTTTCTTCTCATTTCCATTTGTATACTTATAGCTAATTTGCTAGCGTTAGCCAGTTGTTGTTTGATATTGTTGTTCCACCAAAGGGAATATTTGAGAGGTAAAATTTGTGTATTGTATGAGCACATGGTATGAGCAACGATTTTCGAATCGATGTAAAAATGACCAAGTTTACGATTTCGATTTTCAAATATATGGCAAAATGCATTTTTGAAGGGAGAGAACTTAATAGATCGTTTACTTAAATGCATAAGTACATTCGACAAAATCAGCATCCACAATATCCACCATGCACATGTTGAAGTCAATTTGAGCTGAAGTCTCAGTTTTTAGCTTGTAATATATGTTCCATTAAGTTTAATATACACATTTTCACTTTTTCTCCGGTTGTCGGGCAAACGAGAAAACGAACGAACGAACAAACGAAAGAGCACATGCAATGGATTGAATGAATGGATGACTGTTCTTTTGAAGCATTCAGCGCACGGAATGTGATCTCTATCGATGCAACGACACAACCGTGTGTATAATATGGCATACAATAATTATAGTCATGATGGTTAATGGACCACATTAAGATTAAAGAGAGCAATTAAATTAAACTGCAAACTGCACTATACGAACGGATAATGAGGTAGATATCTCATTCCCATGGCAGAGTCTCTTTGGGTATTGAAAAAAAGTAGCGGAAGACTCTGTCGGTTTCTTATGCATGAACCCCCAAACTTATCGACAAATTTAAAAAAAATAAAAATAAAAAAAAGTAGAAAAGAGACGAAGTACAGCAATAATACAACTTGAATGTGCTTTAGAAAGTGCCGTGGGGCTCATGCGGCGATGAGCAAGCATCACTGAAAACTTCGTATTGCATTGCAATATATTGGTAAACAACAACAACGGAGCAACGGCAAATGCAACAAACGAATACGTAAAAAATCTTGCCAGTCACTTTTGTTTCAAGGGAAATGGAAATGCAATTTCCAAGTAATTTCACATGTTTAGCTGGTATATTTGGATGTTCGCTAATGCCAAAATACGATACCAATTGAAATGGCAGTGAATTTAAGTACGACCGGGACTTTTTCTTCTTCTTCTACCATTAGCGGTTGTTAAATCTTCACAACTATTTAAGTTCACTCTGTTTGGTACAACTTTTATAGATCAAATCGGTTGAATTATTTTATTCGAATCGAATACTTTTCACATGTTTAACAAGACGCTCTTCAATGCCGTTTCTTTAATTCGTTCACTTTGTGTAACTTTTTTATTTTCGAAATGAAATACAAACCGAAAATGGTTCAGTGTGCTCGGTCATTCCATTTAAATCAATTGAATTACTTTTTAATGCGACCGAACATTTCACAATGCACACACGATATTGTTTAATGACTTTTGTGCCCATGATAGATTTGTGCATAAAAGAAGACGTGACAGAATTCAATTGATAAATACGCGCAATGTATCATCGTAGTGCGTATAAACACTTGTGGAGTACGATTTTTTTTATTCGTCGTACAACGAATTTGAAAGCTCATAAAAAAATTCACATTTATGAAATTATACACAAATTGGGGGAGTTGATATTGATGAATTGAGTAAAGTGTCTAGTCATCGATGTCATGACATGCCAAAATCCACATTTTTCCCTGTATTATGATAATTCGATATTTGTTATAAAAGGCAATGAACTGTTTGGTCTTGAATTTTTTCAATTGTTTCGAAAACCGTTTTTTTATGTTGTTGCTGCAACAGTGACATTTTAAAATGGAAACACTTGGACCGTATTTCTGTTGAAGCACGTTGAAATGTGTGCGCTCGTTGAATCCAATTGAATTGCTATTCTTGAATATGGGTCAATTGAGCGGTAAATTTAAACACATTGGTGTCTATGATTCGAGTCAATTTTGATGAAAAGTCGCAATGTCATTTTGAATTTTAAAATGGGGTCATTTGAAGAACGTAACGACGGCCAACCAATTTGTTTAGAGTTTTATTTGAATCACCTTAATTACTTTTTTGAATTGATTCATTTTTAAAAGGACTTTTCAAGAAATGTTTGTTGTCTTTAAAATGAAAATTAAATCAAGCTTAGCAACACGGTTGTTACAGTTTTGGAAGTCACTTGTAATTAACTTGTCCATTTTTTTTCTCAAGTAACACATGCACAGACACACAATTCGAACAGAATGTATACCAAACGATATAGATTTTAAGCACTATGAATTTTCAATCAATTCAAGAGTGTTCGTTTCGTTTTCTTTGTCTCGATTTATTTTAGCTGTTTTTCTTCGAATGACATAAAACCATTTTATCGTTGATATTGCCAAACAAAATTTTAAACCAAATGAAGAAGAAAACAAACGATTTTTTTCTTTTTTTTTTTTTTTGGTAAAAAAATGAAGTAAATTTTCAATTAACGAGTAATACTTCAACAACATACGATTACAACAACATTTAAGCACTAAACATAATTCCCATCAATAAAATGGAAAGTTTTCTTAAATATATATAGATTGCTAATGAAATAGATAAGACAAACAATGAGACACTTGATTTGATATATTTAAGCTTGTTACACATGTTACGAAAGGTGTTTAAAGTTTTCGATAAGTACAAACAAAAAATACAGAAACACCATTTTCAACCGAAAAAAAAAACGAAACAAACTGATTACATAACGTAAATGAGAACAAATTTGAAGGCAGAAAGTTCAATGGCAACAAAAATCCAAGAAAAATGGATACAATTAAAAAATCGACCAAAAAACAAAATAGAGAAAGATTTTTTTTTCATATGTTTCATTTGAATATCCATTCCAACGTACAACAACAGCTTTGGTGCACTGAATAAGTAGGAGAATATCTGATCGATAAATAGACGAATAAAACAATGTGATGTACGTACCAACACCTGGATATGGTTGCATTCCTGGATAGGTAGCATGTTGTAAAGTCGCATCACCATTTGGTAGTCCTTGCGCCGGAATCGATAAATGGAGTGCATCTGCCATTCAGATTACGCGACAATTATTAAAAAATTTAATTTTCGCAGAAAAAATGAAAATGTTTTTAAAACAGACGAATTGAGAAAAAAGAAAAGATTTTTGCTTAAAAAAGTATGATCAGTCTTTCTGAAATGTCAAAAACTCAGAGAAAGATGCTCTTAATATTCGACATCGGTCGATTAACTTCAAAGTTCTCGAAAAAGCAAATGAACGAAGTTATATGGATCTTGAGTCCAGAAAGCCTGATCCTGTTGAAAGGACTATGTATTCACATGCATAACACAGTGCACTTTTAGCTAGTTTAATTTTTGGTCTTAGTTGTGATGATGGGGAACGTATCGTTTCATAACCCTACACAAATATACTCTTCTATACAAATGAAGTTCGTCGCATTTTTTTTTGTTCAAAAAAAGTACTTACGGCCTGGATAAGTCTGTGGTATTCCATTTGTATAGACAGTAGTTTCAGTACCGCCCGGTTGACCATTTGGAGTTTGAGCAGCCATATTGAACGTTGGCATCGTTGGTGATGGCAAAGAGGGTATGGCACCGTTGACTGGTTGACCTGATCCTGCTTAATATATCAAACATATCCATTGCATTTCCATTTTCGACATTACATTTTCAAATGAACCAATAAGGCTATTATTATTCAGTTTTTTTTTTCAATTAAGTGAAAAAAATACTCACCATTTAAAGCATGAGGTATTTGAGTTGCTAAAGCAGCCATTGGATTAATATATGTGCCTTGAGCGGTAGCGGCAGCCATTAACGCAGCTTGTTGTTGCTATTTAAATGATTGAATTCAAATTAATAACCAAATGTATTGCCGAATAAAATAACATATTATTTATTTTCACATTTAATTAAAATATATCGGTGCACTAGCGAGATAAATACCTGTGCGTATGCTCCATATGCCCCAAATTGATTGAATACAAAGGGATTTAATAAATTCATGTGACCAGCCATTTGTTGCATACGACGTAATTGCCGTTCCTTTTCTGTGTCAGCGAATTTAACAACTAAACTTGAAGATGCACCCTGTATAGAAACAAAAAAAAAGATACATTACTCCAAAGTCAAAGATTTATCTTTACCATTATCGTCATCATCATCATCATATCACATTTGTTTTCATCTTTGACAAAGGTTTACATTAAGAGTTTCATATAGTAATATGAAAGTCGATTTCTAACCAACAATTCGTTTAAGGTTTGTTCCCGAGTATAATCACAATCGTTTATCATTTAAAAATAAAAATCATTAATTTCATGTGCAACTAAAATAATTCGTAATTGTAAAAACGTAAAAAGGAATTCAGGAAAACTCCATGGATATTTTGAAGATTTAAAATATTTATCGTTTCTTTGTTCATTGTTATCGTGGCAAATGCTTCTTTTCACACTCTTCCCTCCACATCTCTGATTCGATGAATGTTTATTGAATGAAGTGATAATGTAGTAGTCATATACCGTTGTACCGATATTCCACAGTAAATATGTAATAGGCGCTTCTGAAATACCACAATTTTTGCCACACAAATATTCTGATGAGGATTGAATGGCAACATAAAACACGACCACACACACATACACATCCATTTACAGTCAGTCAACTCTTGCAGCATACAAAGAAATCAACAAATACATGATGACGAAGTGTACGATACCATTCGTCGTTGCTACTATGGAGATCAAAAATGAATAGAATTTTTTTTATGATTTCCACCAAATGGTTTATTTCGTTTTTGTCTCTTTTCATCTTAAATTCATTTTTATTACGTTTTTTATGTGATTCTTTCATCGCTTTTACTTTGGCATGCCTTGCTTTGTCCGCACTTTTATTTTGTCTGATTTGATTTCTCTATCAATTTTTGGTTTTGATTCTTACTTTGCCTTTGCATTTGATTTCATTTGCTCTTTGGAATTCGCACAAAAACTGTCCTCGCCTTTATAATTCGTTCGCTTCTTTTCATTTCACTCCCACTCTCACTCCCTTCTCTCTTTTCTTTTCGAATCTTTGCCTTTCTTCTTTCGTTTCACTGCTATAGCCAATGTACTTTGCCATTTGATTCATTCTGCGTTCACTTCTGTTCCCTTTTTTTTCATTTACATATTGATATTTCATGTATAAAATGAGTGTGTAGAGGAAAAGCAATGCGAAATACACATTTACACAGATTTCCTTATATTTAGTATATAGATTTTGGTGGGAGTAAAAGAGCGGCAAAACGACACGGTAAATTAAATATATAAAAAGGAAGAGAGAGAGAGAGAAGTAGGATTCCCACTGTGAGTGGAAACTTTTACTTTGATTTCTTCATCATAATATCCGATTATGTTAGGGATTTCTTTCGTTTTTACTTTTCTTCTTTTATATGTTATGTTTGGGCTGTTTCGATATTATTCAGAAATGGAATTTGTCGCATCATCTATGTGGCACAAAGAAGCAGCGTACATAAAGCACACAAACCAATGTTCGACGGAATCTGCAGAATTGTGTAACAAAGACATTGAAACAATTTCAATATGTGATCCGAAGAAGTCGATTGGAATATTAGTATATGGTTCGTGACATTAGCACCATTAAATGAATCGAAATAAGACTTTTTTTTCGTCGCATTGGAACCAATTCATTCAACTGTTTGTCATAATTGTCAAATTATCTATTGCTGAATCTAATATTTGGTTAAAATGTGCACCCTATTCACAGCAAACATTCTCCCCCAAATGTGAATATGCACAAATACTTAACTGATGAAAGGCTATAAAAGTCAAAGAGACACACACAAAAAAACGTAAATCGAAAATAGGAGAGAAAATAAACGAGATTCCTTTTTCCGCTGAATGATTACGGCGATTGAATTTTATTTTCTGTTTCATCGGCCGCATCGTATAACCTTCTGCATCAATGTCACATTAATGGCACTGAATGCCATCTAAAATATATTTTAAAGGGTTTTATGTTCGTGGAAAAATGGTCGTTAGACATTTATTTGGTTTGAGTATACACTAAACATTGAATGGTCATGTTATTAGATGAGTACACTTGATTTTAACTTTGTTTATTGCTCCAGTTATGTCTTCCGTTTCTACTCCACTAATCAAAAAGAATTATTTAATTTATTTTGTGATACTAGAAACAATGCTTTTGATTAAATTCTTTTTCCATTCGCTTTTTTCGTTTCTCAGTTTTACTTCGTCATTTTAATTGGTTCAAACTGCAGTGAGATATATTTATATGGTTGTCGAATCATACATCGACAGCGTCCATACATTGATATTTATTTGAAGCGTCATTTTCAATGCCCTTATTCGTTCTCTTTCTGTGATTTTCTTCCAATTATAGATTGAATCGAAGATAAATATAATGGTAAATTCATATTGACATTTTGATGAAGTGTGTTCAGTTTTATTCGAACTGACATTATTATAACATGGACGAACACACAATTATAATAATGTGAAAATAATAAAAGCAGTTTGCAATCTATATCGAAGGTAGAATTGGATTCGTTCTAATCAATTTTGTTATTGTTTGCTTCTATTCACATTTTCATTCAAATTTACTAATATGATGTGAAAATCGAAGTTCATTCTCTTGCTCAACGTTATGAAAATGTAACATACAAACAAATTACATAAGAGGTCACAACACGCATTCACAAAAATCCGATCAAAGAAACGAAACGCATGGTAGAAGAAATAATAGCAACAGAAATCAAATCTCATGTCGACATGAACAAATACGCTTGATATCAAAATGGTTTTCTTTTTTTGCTCTTTCGATTGACGATTGCTGACGTTCAGTGTTCCATGTATATGATTACATAGTACATGTGCACATCAAAAATAATGCGATACCATTAATTTTAATAAAAATAAAAGAGAATCTATTTACTGAAACAAATGATCTATTAGCGAGGCAAAAAAGAACTCTCTCTCTCTCTCTCTCTCTCTCATCAATTCTTGTGAGCGATTCGAGTATGAGATAAAACTTAAGCATCTGAATTGACACATCACGACTACGAACATCTCACTGTATGTATATTTCAATCTTCTTTCACTTTTGGTGACTTTCGCTCTTTTTGCGTTGTTTGTTCGTCGTTTTTATTCCATATCTTTTATCTAAACAATTATCCTTTAATCTCTGTTAGGCGCGCAAATTGGGTCGACAAGGCAAAAAATGAAATACCAAAGCCCAAACAAACGAAACGAAAAAAAAAACGCGCCGCGCACTCACTGTATAATATATATATTTGCTAAAAGCGAATGCGATGAATAATACGAAGACGAATGGATACAGATAGCAACGCACATTTTTTTCTCGTTGGCTTCTGTCTTTTCCTTCTTCACTTATCATTTACATTGTTCTTCTTTTTTTGTTTTGCTTGGCACAACATTTATTTCCATACATCAAACATATAAATGCCGTATATGTGATGCCGAAGTTTTTCCAACCAAAGGACTTTATTTATTCTCAATGTTTCTGGAATTGGTTTTTATTGTGTGCGTATAGGCGGCAGTTGTACGAATGAAAATCAGCAACAGATGGGTAAATAAAATAAATGCAAAAGAAAGAAAGACGCAGAACGCAAGATAGAGAGAGAGAGAGAGCGGGAGAAAAAAACGTTCGCTCGATAAAACGCGACAACGTAGGGAGCGAGAAATGGGAACAAGAAATAGATTGAGAGTGAGAAAAAAATAAATGACGAAGACAATAATAAACGAAGAATGTTTAAGTATGCTTAGCGAAAATGAAAAAAAAGACAATGTGAATCAATCACAAAATCACGATAAACTCCAAATAACACCAACATTTGACACTGGCGTCGGAGAAGAGGACGATTTATATTGCGTTGACAATCGAATAACAATGCACAATGACAGAATGAAAGAAAAAAGAGGACGGAAGAATCAGAGTGTGGACAGAAAAAAAATTCTTCACATGTTATGAAAAGCTTCAGCCATTACAAATGATTCGTTTTGATCACCATAAATGCTTGTTCATGCATTTTCATTCCAACATTCGCAGTTAATTTCATCGACTGGCCAACGTCACTGCATGGTATGTGCCAAACAAGGCGTCAACAAAATTGAAAAAGCTGCAATGTAAAACCACACCATAAATACATTGTTGCATACTCAATATCACAAGATCCACTAACGATTCTTTTGTTGAATATTTTGAGTGTCGGTTTGTTGCTGATTTTGTTGATGTATAAATTACGCTATACGGGAAATAAGTGGATTCAATGTAATGCAAAAAACGATGGCAGACCTATTAAGTGTATTAATTTCTCTCCGATGAATTTGCATAAAATTGAGAGAAACAGAATGTAAATGACAAAGCGAAATGAGCACAAAGTCCGAAAAATAAAGTGATGAAGTGGTGGTGCGGATGAGTGCAAGTGAACAGGAATGAGGAGTCATAAAATATGAATTTCCTACGCTAAAAAAACGAAAGTGTGAGTACAAAGATCCTTGAGATTATGAAACGAGGCCAGAGCAAGAATATATTGCCATGCGGAAGTATATGGAAAGTCAGCATCATTATCATTTGCTCTTTATATAAACGAAACTGAATGCGAAAAGTTCCTTTGAAGTAATGTTTCCTTTCAATAAATCATCAACGTATATTCAAAAACCTAAGATCATCAACCATAATCAACTAGTGACACATTTCAAGTGTGTTACGAAAACAGCCTACGGGGCAATGGTGCATGACACACCACCGACAAACATTCAATTGACGAACGCAACAGATTTTTGCTTTCGTTAAGGCAAAAACAGGGGATTTTCTTTTGCCATTTCATTTCAAAGGGCAACACACTAACAAACACTGCCGGAAAACTGTGAACATTTTGGCACAAACGAGACGAAAACCAATTCATGAGCCAAAGTAATAAATAAGAAACTATAATTCGTATTTGCATACGTAAAAAACATGGTTTCGGTTGTTGTTGCTGTCGGTGTGTTTGCCATGTTTTGTATGTGCATTGTGCCTGAATCAATATAATAAGTTGAGAGCCAGAGTCGGTT